GCAATAGCCAAGCATTCAGGGAGATAGAATGAAAATAGCATCCACTAGAGCCTTACCTTGCGGAAAATTTCCTCCACATCACAGGAACAGGCATATTCTTGCAAATGTTCAATGAGTCTCATAATAAACACAGAGCCCTTTGTGGGATGTCTCCAAGAAACATTATCTGTTGATAAAGCACATTTCAACTCTCAAGACAGGCTCTTGCCTGAAGAAAGAGAAGAAAACCTAATATTTCTACTCCAGCAAAGGTATGTTTGAAATCATAAATTTAGTATCGAGTAAGGAAAAGGCAGAATGGAGTACAGGGGAGTGATTGGGATTTGGAAAATAAATATCTAAATGTACATTCACAAAGTGGTACTACTGACTCTGATTTAAGTTAATTATGCATTCTGATATGTAATAGACTCATTTATACAGGGAATGGTAATAATTTCGTACATAAGAGATATCTGAGGTCACACAAGTGTCTGAGATAACACAGGATATGTAATATTCAGTCTATACAGGATAACTATGTTAATAAATTTTCAATACATCATTAAAAAATAATTAAAATTAAATACCATTGACAATAAGATTTTATATACAAAAAATTAACTATGAAAATCATAAACAGAACAAAGGTAGAAATCTAGGAGGAGTTGATAAGAAAATGAGCACATCATATGGCAGGATAAACAGTTCTTATGAAGAACAGAAATATTAAGAAAAACAATATTAATTTATTACCTGGTAGACACAGAAATAATGAAGACATAAAATTATACAAAGCAAGGCTTAAGAGAAAGACAGTAGAATAGCTCCATGTATAATGACAGACACATTCCTTAATGACACATTTTAGCCAGTTATAATGGTCATAAAGTATATATTGATAATAAAATTCTATTTAGAAACACAGCTATCTCAGCTAAAGGAAGTCTTTAACTGAGACTTGTTCTAGTAACAGGAAGTAGGTAAGAGATATGGTGGAGACAGATGTTTCTGCAAACGTTTTGTGAAATTAAGGAAGTAGATGGTTACTTTTCTTCAGGAAATTACTGGGATGTGGTTGGGATTGGCACAGCAGAATGTGGAGATTGGTCTAACATGGAAGTTATATATAACTAAATTGGTGTTCCTGACAGTCATCTGGAAAGGAGGAGTAAGGAAAGTGAAAGAAAAGAAAGACACATAAATCAGCCAGGTTCATGATGAGAAGCCAGGGGCCTAAAAAGAGCCACACAGAGAGGGGTGAGTGTGAATGTCTGGGATCAAAGGATATTAAAGACAGTTCCGTCTGATATTAAAGTCTACTATACGTTATATGTACTCAGGATGAAAATGCATGGTTTTTTGTATGATGCCATTGTTTCTGAATATTGGAAAAAAATATTTAGTTCTACATCAGGGCATGTTCAACACAATGTAGAACCAAGCTTCTTCTGAAAGAAGATATCTCATTTTAGAAAATACTTTAGAAAACTTAACTATTTGAGCAGAGGCAGGGCCTTTGGGCAACGGGTGACTGAGAGAATGTGAGTCCTCTCAGCAAACTGCCAAATGTGGTGAATGAAAGAATTTAAAGAATTTTTATTTAAACCTTGCTTAGAAAGTAATTGTTATAAAATAAAAATATTTTAAATAGCAGTTCTTTAATGTGTGCTTTATTTTGTGTCATGCCCAATATTTCAAATATATTAATTTATTCAATCCTTAGAAAAATAATATTTACATCCACATGTTAATGAGCAATTCGAAGAAAACCCAGAGAGGAACTAATGGAGCTGGTTTACAAAGTACTAAATGGTTGTATCAGTCAATAATGGCAAAATCTTACTCCAAAGTATACATTTAGAATAATTCAAATATATTCTGACTTACACACTTCATGCTTATAGATAAAACCCTCTTTAATTTAGGGCCCCAAAGTGCCTCACTTGCTGTTCTACTTTTCTGAACGCAGCTCCTACTCTTCTTTTATAAATACTTGATGTCTGGGCAAATTGGACCGATGAATGATCTCAACATGGCAGAACTTTTTCTATGCAGAATCAGATTCTAATGTACTATAGCACAGAACGTCTTCCATTTAATTCTCTGTTATGGCTCAGCATTCCAATAAAAAATTTTGAAAAATAGACAAATTATCTTATTACTAATTCATTGAACAGATATGTAAAATTGATCTCTTGGATAAAGGGAATTGTATGTATAACTTGGAACAAAGCTTGAGTTGGTCTTTAAAAATCTTATCTAAATTCCATGCAGGTATAGACCCTCTAGTGGGTGATTGTCACTTTTTGTATTGATAACCCCAACAAAGATGTCCTGTGTAGAACCTGTTACCTGGTGTGGAAGAGCAGAAAGCAATAAAATCCTTCTCTATGTGGGCTTTCCTAATGGCATCATCTTCAAACCCTTCTGTAGTTGGTAAAGATGTGTTTCCAGAAACTCCTCCTGAGTCTTTTAACCACACTACACCTTCGTTCTCTGGAAAGACACAATTTGATTTGTTACTAGTACTAATGGCTGAGAAGATGATGTTTTCCTCCTAGCCTCTGTTCCATGATATTTATTAATGTGTTTGCTCTATAATTAATTAACATGCAAATACACACATACGTTTCTGTTACAATCTTTTCAACAATTCTTAACTTTTCTGACCATCAAACAAATTCGAAAAATGTCCAAACATCAAATTCTCAAGCTTTAATATGGAACAAATATCTACCAACCAGCCATTCAATTCACAGAAACCACAATCTTGAGTACTGACATTACATATTCTTTGACATTAAAAGACAGACAAAAAGAAACTGAAAAATCCTAGATGCATACAGATGAGGATAGCATTTAATGTCTGGTGTTTTCAAAGACATCAGCACTCACCACCACGGCAGGCCTGGATGATGATCACCTTGGGTTTGTCCTTCAAACTTGGGCAGTTCCTGGTATTCAAATTTCTAAAGATTTCATTGACTTGTAATATATCTGGGACTTGCTCAGAGTATTTCTTCCCACAAATGCCTTCCCGAGTACCATGAGACATGAACACCAGGAAGGTGCTGTCAGAGGTCTTGTGCTCTGGGCGGTGTGCAAATGCCTCCAGCTCTGTAGTCATTTCCTGAAAGAGACCATACCGCTGATTTTGCACTATGTAATTAACTATCATGGCACCTTGGAAAGCCGATAAATAAATACTTAAGGAATTCCATGACAAACAATGGAGTGCCAAAAAAGTTTTAGTCTTAATTTTGAGGAAGAAAAGTGTTATAGGAAGTCATCCAGAGTTATTTTCTAGCGAGACAGTGGTATTACTGAGCTAATAAACATTTCCCAATTAAGTTACACCAAGCTTGTGCTGAAAGACTCTTATGTTACAAGGGAACATGTAGTATCCAGCACTCTCTCATGGCAACTTTATTAGATTACCAAGAGATTACATTTCTTGGTCTTAAAACCAAGCTTTCTAATATTATTTAGTTATATGAAGGGCATGACCATTGTCTCTTAGTTCTGATAATAGAACTTACTGAAGCAGTGAGATTTTTTTTCACATCCACACTGTACCCCAGATTTTTCAGCAGCATTGACATGCCTATGATGTCAACCTCAGCTCCAGTTCTTATAGGAAGGCTGTCAAATTCTTCATTGCAGATAATGAGAGCAACACGTGTGCGGCTTGACTCGTTCATTGTTGGATAAATCTATAGAAAATGGAGTTTGAATTAATAGCCTTGTCCTCTCCAATTAAATATTCACCTTGCTGGTTTATGACAGCTTTCCCTTCCTTAGTCCTATGAAAATACCAAATCCCATGAACTGTGCATTGAAAAGGGGTAACAGAATTGAGTGCTGCTTCAAGAGCAGGCCTGGAAATTGCAAATGCCCTGATGGCAGCCGAGCTACTGACTTCATTGTTCTTGATATGTAGGATTTTGAAAGACGCACAAGCTTTGAAGCAAAAAACGGCTGAATTCTAAAACTGACTTCTTCAATTTCTGATTATTTATCTTTGGGCAAAATATATAACAATCCTATATCTCAGCTTCTTGATCTCTAGAATGGGTTATGTTTAGGTTTAAAATTGTATATTATCATGTGCAAATTGCTTAGAAAATGCCCACTCATAGTAAGCATTCAATAGCTGCCATCACTGATGTTATTTACCCAGGAATTGGATCCAATTTGGAACTCTTTCTCCAAACCTGGGATTTTAGGATATAGAAATCCTTTATGTGAGAGGAGCAAAAGTATAATTCTCTAGAACTGCTCAATGAAATTGGCTCTAAGAAACGGTCACTGCATTTCAGAACTGCCTCAAGTATATCTTTCACCCCACTCTATCCGTGTGTTCTGAGCATGGCACCTCTCCCAACTGTTCTTTCTGTATCCTTTCAGCTTCTTTTGGGGAGCAAAGCTTGATATTCCCTTCTGAGCCCGAGGATGTGAGCGTAATTTGCTTGTTCAGCACTGCCTGAGGAGCTGCAAGAGACAAAGAACCTCATGAATGGTGGCATTCCTCTTTGTTCCGCTTTGTGTTTCTTATAGCCTCACCTATGGATGAGACACAGAAGAGGAAATGCACTCTAAGGAGGACAATCCTGATCTACATCATAAACACAGCTGAAAGAGTTTGCTGCTAATTTAAAACATTTCAATCCAGAGATCTCTGCGTATGTATTACAGGGATCTACTTTCATATTTCAAGATCAGTATTCTACAAGCATTTTAGATACTAACATAGAAAAGGAAAATTTCAAGTCTATGCCTGGTAAAACACTCAGAAAACAATGTGTGAGATAAAATAGTTAGAAGATAAACTTTTTCAAAAGATTCAAATCCTAGGATGAAATTTAATGGGAGCAAGTCTTAACTAAATCTACTGAAATATTTTAAAAATATGTTTATCTTTTTATTTATTTACTTAATAGACATGGTAGTAAGCACTAGGAATATTTTTTTAAATGAATCTTTTTCTTGTCCTTCAGGATCTCGTCTTTCTATGTATACATATGTAATGATAAGAATATTGAATATATAAAATAGAATGAATATAAAATAGATGAATACTAAAATCAAGGTGCACACTAGATGGATTCATAGCACTAAACATTGATTGCACACACACATATGAGGAAATGTTTTAACAGAGTTTATGAGAGAAAATCCTTGAGGCTTTTATTTTATCACAGGTTCAACACAATCTGACAATGTGATGTATTTGTTAAAGAAATTAATGTAATCTTTGTTTCAAAATAGAAATAAGTTTTCTAGATATGTGGAGGATCTTTTAGAAACTATTAAGGAAAAAAAATTTAACTTTAAGAACAAATTTGAAAAACTGTTACACAGTCAGTTAGATAAACAAAGGCAGCATGAAATACGCTGATGTGGAAAAGAACTAATTAGAATAGCTATATTGGAGAAAATTATACAATAATCATTTGGTGGATGAAATGTTTGGTTCCTTCATAAAGAAGTGTGAAAACAATAGAAAAAATATGTAGAAGTATTTAGGTGATTTTTAAGCTATTTTTCCATAGTAAAGAATACAGTATTTGTTTATATGTTGAATATCCCATGCTGTGAAACATTTAAGAAAATATTCATGAGATAACCAACCTTTATAAATTCAGTAAATATCTGAAACTGATAAATAATTTGCATTCCTACCCTCTAAATTGCTTTCAGATAGAAGTTGATTTTATTTTAATAGGGCACTATAGGAATAAATGTTCTTTAATAAAATAATAGAAGTAAAAATGGAGACATGGTTCCAAATTTGAGAAAAGCCTGCATAAAACTTGGCCATGGCTTGAATATTGAAGGTACATGAGAAGAAAGTGTTCCATATGAGTTTCAAGTTCCTGGTTTGAACAACTGGTGGTGGTAGCACCAATACCCAAGTTACACAAAAACGGAAGAGAATCAGGGTGGGGAAGAATGGCATACTCAGCTCTGAAATTGTTTAGATAAGGGTGTCTCTGGGAGCTGTGAAGGAATATTTCAGTAGGCTTAAATAATAAATTTGGTACTTATTTGGGTAATTAGGATTTGAGACACAAATTCAGAATTTTTAATATAAACATGGATAGTGAAGCTGTGGGACAGTTTCTGCAAAAGCAGAATAGATGATGAAAAGAAAATTATACAATCAATCCATGAAAATTCTCCATAGCCCATTTACCCATGGTTCATCCTACAAAATTAGTGTCAAGGAAGATGGAGGGTCAAAGAATGCTCTTGCTTTAAACAGCATTACCTGGGAAAGAAGGAAGTACTTCTGAAGAATCTTGCATACTAAGGTGATGTCCAGATGTTTGACCTATGAAAAGATAAAGGATATTGAAACAGTCACTTATCATCTCTGGAAAACTTTACCCCAATGTGCAAAACGCTCTCCTATAACACTGACTGATTGACATTAAATAATGTTCAAGATGTTCTTTAATTTAGAGAGTGGTGAGAGGTATAAAATGAAAGAGACAGCAATAAAAAAAGGTGTTTATCACTTGTAGATGAAACAGAAACATCTGCAATGTCTGCTTAGACAGGCATAAACTTTCCCTAACCCTTAGAAAAAAAAGGTTTTTACTTTCAAAGAACGTCTCCCTCCGAGTGGCTTTAGGAAGTTCCACTGAGATCAGTGACTGTGAATCCACAAGAACTCTCATCCTCACCATGTGGTAGGTCTAATGGTCATGAAATTTGGTCAGCTCAGTTCCTGAGCACTGTTTCGGGTCTGAAGAGGGCTGCAAGTGGAGGCAGTCCAGGCCTCACAGCATGAACTGCAACCTGGTAACAGGCAAGCGGGTGATCTTACGAAAAAAAAATATAAGGAGGCAACTGGAGGAACGAACCCACTAGAAAACTTTATTTTTCTATACATTCAATATGTTCTCTGAGTGTATCACCATCACTGAAATATATTGTATTCCTTTTGGAGGGGAAAATTTTGGAGAAAAGTTATAAAAGTATTTGATTACAAACCTTAAAGCTTCATGTGGCTTTACAACTACTTAAGTGCTTAGGGACCGCTTTCACTAAAAAAAATAAATATATAAATCCACAAACAAATATTATGCCTTGACAGGAACACTGGAACATACAGTGTGAAGCTTTTCAGATAGTTCTCATGAGCGTCAGCAAATTAACTACAACATACTCAGAACAGGAAATGAGCTTTAATCAGAAGGGGGCCACTGAGGATGAAGAAACAGAATCAAAGGAGCGTCAAGGGACATTCAGTAGGGGCCCTGTTACAGAAATATGGCCCTGAAGCCAGAGTTAAGAAAGTTTTCTGCAACTTAACATGACTAGTAAAGACATAACATGGTAGGCACATTGATAAGCCCTATGTGCAGGTGAGTGTGAGTCACTGATCCTTACCTGCTGAGAGTCCCAGCTTCTCTGCCAGGTGACAATCTTCTTCGCAAATGTATGTGATGCAAACTTGGCATGCCCGAGCCCCTTTCCGAATAACAGAGTCAAACAAAGCTCGGGCCTTATCCATAACTGTAGCATTTTCACGTTTTACTTTCTCCATCTCTTCCTCGTTCAGCACCATTTTCTCTAATAATTCATCCAGTAAGCCATTTATTGTACCTTCACCCACTGAATGGATAAACAGCTTTCTCTTCTCCTTCAGGATCTTGTCTGTTCAGAGCACAAGGATTTCTCACATCATGAAAACAGCCTCATATTCCTCTCATGTTATCAACAGAAAGAGACCTTATTTAAGTTTCTTTAGTAAAATGTCCCCCTCCTCCCACTTGGGTAATCCCTCTTCTTACTGTATCACTATCCTATTTGTTTCCCTCAGTAGTCTCTGTACATGTGCATGGAGTGGCCTGAAGACTGAGTTTACCATTTCCAGGTTCGTCCCTGGAAAGCAGAAACCATCCTTTTGTGTCCCATGTTTATTTAACTATGAATAATAAAGTAGCCCATTTGCTTTAGGAACAATAGCTGCTAGTATTGTGCCAATTCTTTACCCTCTGTTAGACTTACAACATGTAAGTTAGAGTTAATTAAGATTGAAAAATGACAGCCGGCTACCTCTAAAAGCCCTCAGTTCCTTTCTGTGTTTGCCTTTCCTTTCTAAAGGCTGCGAAAGTCTTCTGGTTTCTTCTCTCCCCTCTCTTCTCCCTCTCCCTCACTTCTGCTCACCTAAACTTCCACAGATACTAATTATGGCTTCCAGAAGAGTCAGCCCCTTCCAAAACTCTTTCTTCCCAGGGACCTGTTCTTGGAACAGTGAAAGACTCACCAGCCATGGCTTTTCTCTTCTAACCTCCTTGTGTGAGCTGAAACAGAAAGTATGCTTAACCTTCCTTTTTGACATGGGTGTGTACACATATTGGGAAACAGCCACTGCACATGCATATGCATGTCTTTATTTCTTTTTTTTTTTTTTTCCAGAGAAAGAATCAAGACTGTAGCCTGCATCCTGGAGGGTATCCATGGGATTTTTTTTTTCACCAGCCCTTGGAATAGATTACGGTAGGAGGGGAATGGGGCTTAGAGAGTAAAACACACTTGAGAAAGTGTGTGTACAAATAAACTCACACAGTGGACTTTTTCAATCATTAGAAAACTTGATGGAGAACAGTAACACAACCTGTTGAGAATGTGAAACACTGTTATCCTTGCCCCACCTCCTGGGCATAGTTGTGGGAAATGGATGTTCCAGTGAAGTTATTTTGCTTTAAGAAATATTTTTCACCAAAATTAAAGCTTTTTAAATTTAATGTCCTTCCTTTTTAAGTTGCTTTTTTTTTTTTTCTTTTTTTTATGTTACAGGATATTATTCTGTCGTTCAGGCTGGAATGCAGCTACTCAACCTTGGCTCACTGCAGCTTCCACCTCCCAGGCTCAAATGATTCCTCCAAGTCAGCTTCCAGAGTAGCTGCAACTACTGGCATGTGCCACCATGGCCAGCTAATGTTTGTATATCTTGTAGAGACAGGATCTCCCTAGGTTTCCTAGGCTTGTCTTCAACTCCCTGGCTCAAACATGGTGCCCATGCTGGCCTCTCAATGTGCTAGGATTATAGGCATGGGCCACCCACCCATCCTAGTTGGTTTATTCTTGAGGTATATTGCATCATAGAGGCCCAGAGCATAGGCTCTGGAATTAGAATGTTGAACTTAGCATTTTAAACTTCCCTTCCTGGACAAGATATTCAACTTCCCCATGCATTGGTTCCTCTGTCTATAAAATAATTTTATTAATAGTATGTACCTACACAGTTTTGAGTATCAAGTGAGCAAAAGTGTAGAAAATGCATGGAACATTGCCTGGCAAATGGTAAGCAGATAATGAGTAACATTACTACAATTAATATAAATATTTGAGTTTAGAAAAATAATCAAGGATGATTATTTGCAGATTATCTAGTCAAATTTATCTTTTGTCAGAATCTTCAAGAAGTGCATCTAGTCATTCATTTAGCAAACATATATGGATGACATTCCTCTAGGTGTCAGGGGTTCAGTTGAAACATATCATTATCCTTTCTCCCTTGGCCTCACATTCAAGAGGGGAAGACAAATGTGAAGTCTGGTGATATGGTTTGGCTCTGCCTCCCTACCCAAATCTTACCTTGAATCGTAATAATCCTCATGTGTTATGGGAGAAACATGGTGGGAAATAACTGAATCATGGGGGCTGCTTTTCTCCATCCTATTCTAATGATAGTGAATAAGTTTCATGAGATCTGATGATTTTATAAAAGGAAATTCCCTTGCTCATGCCCTCTTTCCTGCACCCATGTAAGACGTGTCCTTGCTCCTCTTTTGCCTTTCACCATGATTCTGAGATCTCCCCAGCCATGTGGAACTGTGAGCCTATTAAACCTCTTTTTTGTTCTGTATAATCACCCAGCCCTGAGTATGTCTTTATTAGCAGTGTGAAAACTGACTAATGCAGTAAATGTATACCAGGTAGTGGTGTGCTGCTATAAAGATCTCCCAAAATGTAGAAGCAATGTTGGAACTGGGTAAAACGCAGAGGTGGAACAACTTTTAGGGCTCAGAAAAAATAGGAAAATGTGGGAAAGTCTGGAACTTCCTAAGAGACTTGTTGAATGGCTTTAATGAAATGGTGCTCATCTCGGATGAAGATGAGAAACTTGTTGGGAACTGAAATAAAAGTGACTCTTGTTATGTTTAGTGAAGAGATTGGTGGCATCTTGCCCCTACCCTAGAGATCTGTAGAACTTTGAACTTAAGAGAGATGACTTAGGGCATCTGCCAGAAGAAATTTCTAAGCAGCAAAGCATTCATGATGTGACTTTGGTGTTGTTAAAAGCATTCAGTTTTATGTATTTACAAATATATGATTTGGAATTGCAACTTATGTTTAAAAGGGAAGCAGAGCATAAAAGCTTGAAACATTTGCAGCCAGATGATGTTATAAAAAGCGAAACTCATTTTCTGAGGAGAAATTCAAGCCAGGTGTAGAAATTTGCATATGTAACAGGGAGTCAAATGTTAATCTCCAAGACAATGGGGAATATGTCTCCAGGGCATGCCAGAGACTTTCCAGGCAGCCCCACCTATCACAGGTCTGAAGGCTTAGGAGGAAAAAAATGTTTTCATGGGGTGGGCCCAGGGCCCCTCGGCAGTGTGCAGCCTAGAGACTTAGTACACTTCTTCTTGGGCCACTCCAGCCATGGCTAAAAGGAACCAAGATACAGCTTTGGCTGTGACTTCAAATGTTGTAAGCCCCAAACCTTGGCAGATTTCAAGTGTTGTTGAGCCTGTCGGGGCACAGAAGTCAAGAATTGAAGTTTGGAAACCTCTGCCTAGATTTCAGAGGATGTATGGAAATGTGTGGATGTCCAGGCAGAAGTTTGCTGCAGAGGTGGCATCCTCATGGAGAACTTCTACTAGGGCAATGCAGAAGGGACATGTGGGGTGTGAAACCCCCACACGGAGTTCCCACTGGGACACTGCCTAGTGGAGCTGTTAGAAAAGGGCCACCATCCTCCAGACTCCAGAATAGTAGATCCACCAACAGCTGGCACCATGGACCTGGAATAGTTGCAGACACTAAATGCCAGCACATAAAAGCAACTGGGAGGAATGCTGTACACTGCCAATGGTAGAGCTGCCTAAGGTCTTGGGACCCCAACTCTTGCATCAGTGTGACCAAGATATGAGACATGGAGTCAAAGATCATTTCAAAGCTTTAAGGTTTGGCTGCCCCACTGGATATTGGACTTGCGTGAGTACTGTAGCCCCTTCCTTTGGCCAATTTCTCTCATTTGGAATGGATGTATTTACCCAATGCCTGTACCCTCATTGTATCTAGGAAGTAACTAACTTGCTTCGATTTTTTATTTTACAGGCTCATAGGTGGAAGGCTCATTGTCTTAGATAGATTTTTAAACCTTTTGGGTTAATGCTGGAATAAGTTAAGACTTTAGGGGACAGTTGGAAGGCATGATTGGTTTTGAAATGTGAGGACATGAGACTGGGGAGAAGCCAGGGGCAGAATGACAGAGTTTGGTTCTATGTCCTCATCAAAACTCACCTTAAATTGTAATAATCCCCAGGTGTCATGGGAGGAACCTGGTGGGAAGTAATTGAATCACGAAGGTGGGTTTTTCCCATGTTGTTCTCATGTTAAGTCTCATGAGATCTGATGGCTTTATAGAAGGGAGTTCCCCTGCACATGCCTTTTTTTCTGCTGCCATGGAAGATGTGTCCTTATTCCTCCTTTGCCTTCCACCATGATTGTGAGGCCTCCCAAGCCATGTGAAACTGCAAATCCATTAAGCCTCCTTTTTCTTTATAAAGTACCCAGCCATGGATATGTCTTTATTAGCAGCATGAGAACAGACTAATACACCTGGTATGGAATATGTTACTGGAATATTAAGAATGTTCAAATGTAGAAAGTGATGAGAAAGATAAAAAATTAATTGGTGAAATAGGAGACAGGGAGTCAGGGAAGGCCAGAAAAGATCTCTGCCTTTGCAACCACATGTTCAATTGATTATCCCAAAAATAAATTCATTGTGGTTAGTTTATTTGATAAACGTATTTGATGAAAGATAGACTAATAGCAAAATGCACACAGTATGTTATGTTTATCAAATTCTTTACCAAAAATTCTCTTGGGCTGTTATCTTATTATTTTTTTGGAGAATAAAGACCCAGAGTTGCAAAAACATCTACCTTTTGACATGTGGGCCACCAGTTTTATTACCTGTGCTCTAGGTGAAGACTTAAGTGTGTTTGGCTTAGGCTAGAACTCACTGTGTAGGTGGACATTGATGTAGCTTTTAAATTAAGGGGTTTCCCAACGTGTTTTGTTTTTTTTTTAGACAAAATCTTGCACTGTCTCCCAGCCTGGAGTGCAATGGCACCATCTCACCCCACTGCAATCTCTGGCTCCCAGGTTCATGCAATTCTCCTGCCTCAGCCTCCCAAGTAGCTGGGATTACAGGTGCACACCACCACACCTGACTAATTTTTTGTATTTTTAGTAGAGACAGGGTTTCACTATGTTAGCAAAACCAGTTTCTAACTCCTGACCTCATAATTCACCTGTCTTGGCCTCCCAAAGTGCTGGGATTACAGGTGTTAGCCACTGCACCCTGTCTCTCATGGTGTTTTAGCTTTACTTTGCCAGTGACTTGATTCAATTGCAGCACAAGCTTGTGCTCCTTGCCACCGGGAAAATTTGTAGCATGGAAGAAAGTAGAAATTATCTGTACATTACTTATTTTCCAATCATTTACTTTTAAATTTATTTACTGATTCATGCTTTTTTCCTCTATTAACTTAAGTATTTTACACGGGGGTTTCTCCCCTAGCCAGAGCCGTGAACTACTGAATTGAAACACACCAAAGTGGCATCCAAGATACAGAAACCTTGACTAGACCATACATATGGGATGTAGAACCATGAGCCTTGAGTCTCATGTCCTGGCAAGCTAAACATCGAGCCACTAGATTGCAAGGATCCACTGTTTTCTCAAAAATGAAGATGTCATAAACTGGTGACAACTCAATATCTAATTCAGGAACATAAAATAACAATTTGTGCTATACATGTACACTGAATTGCTATTCAGTCAGAAATGGGAAAAATTACTAATATATACAATAACATGGATGAAAAAACTTACGCTTTCATTATGACTGGAAGAAGCCATACAGGAGGGAACACATACACTGTGATTCCAATTATATAAAGTCCTAGATTAAGAAAACTAACATATAGTGATAGAAATTCAATCACTACTTTTTATCTCAGGAGGGAATGGAAGGAGATTGAGAACTATGGGCATGACAGAACTTTCTGGGGTGACAAAATTTGTTTGCCTATTCATTGGAATGTTATTATAATATGATATCCATAAATCATTAATAATCAAATTATAT